GGCAAGTTAGGAATACAGGAAAATTGCTGTCTCCAGAAAGAACCCTCACCCAGTGGGCCAGGAGTTCCTGGGTGCGGATCCCAGCCCCTGTCCCTCAGCTGGGGCAGCTCTGCCATCTGTTCTGCTGTGTCTGTCCAAGCTCCCCCGCAAGGTGGAACCCCAGCTGCCCCTGGTGTTCCTGTCTCACTGTCCTACTCTCTGATTGGAGTTTTCTGGGCTCACTTCCCGGATGAATTACTTAAAGTAAATCCTAGTCTTGGGATCTGCTTCTAGCTTTGCAGAAACAACTAGATTCTGGCTGTCAAAAAGCTGTGTTGTATACTTCTTATTGGTTTGTGTCAAGAGGAATATGATGTCCCACTTTCCCTGAAATTAAGATTGGTCAGCACGTTTCAGTAATGTCAGCCTGATCCTTTTATTATACATTGCCCAACAAGCCTACTTGTTTTTATTCTCTCTCTCTCTCTCTTTCTGAGTTTAGATAGTGAGAGAGAGACAGAGAGAAAGGTCTTCCTTCTGTTGGTTCACCCCCAAAATGGCTACTAAGGCCGGAGCTCTGCCAATCCGAAGCCAGGAGCCAGGTGCTTCCTCCTGGTCTTCCCATGAGGGTACAGGGCCCAAGCACTTGGGCCATCCTCCACTGCCTTCCTGGGCCACAGCAGGGAGCTGGACTGGAAGAGGAGCAACCTGAACTAGAACCCAGAGCCCACATGGGATGCCGACACTGCAGGCAGAGGATTAACCAAGTGAGCCATGGCGCCGGCCCTAGGATTTATTATTTTCACATCATGAATTACAATGATGGTGATTTGGCCGGCACTGCAGCTCAACAGGCTAATCCTCCGCCTAGCGGCGCCGGCACACCAGGTTCTAGTCCCGGTCGGGGCACCGGATTCTGTCCCGGTTGCCCCTCTTCCAGGCCAGCTCTCTGCTGTGGCCAGGGAGTGCAGTGGAGGATGGCTCACCCCATGGGAGACCAGGAGAAGCACCTGGCTCCTGCCTTTGGATCAGCGCGGTGCACCGGCCGCGGCCGCCATTGGAGGGTGAACCAACGGCAAAAGGAAGACCTTTCTCTCTGTCTCTCTCTCTCACTGTCCACTCTGCCTGTCCAAAAAAAAAAAAAAAAAAAAAAAAAAACACCAGTGATGGTGATTTTCTATTTCCATAATTCCTCCTGGGGCGGGCACTGTGGTGCATCGGGTTAACGCCCTGGCCTGAAGCACCGGAATCCCATATGGCCTCTGGTTCCAGCTCTCTGCTGTGGCCTGGGAAAGCAATAGAAAATGGCCCAAGTCCTTTGGCCCCTGCACCTGTGTGGGAGACCCAGAAGAAGCTCCTGGCTTCGGATCAGCGCAGATCCGGCTGTTGCGGTCAATTGAGGAGTGAACCATCAGATGGAAGATCTCTCTCTCTCTCTCTGCCTCTCCTCTCTCTGTGTAACTCTGACTTTCAAATAAATAAATACATCTTTAAAAAAAATAATTCCTGGCCGACGCCGTGGCTCACTAGACTACTCCTCCGCCTGCGGTGCTGGCACACTGGGTTCTAGTCCCTGTTGGGGCGCCGGTTCTGTCCCGGTTGCTCCTCTTCCAGTCCAGCTCTCTGCTGTGGCCCGGGAAGGCAGTGGAGGATGGCCCAAGTGCTTGGGCCCTGCACTCACATGGGAAGACCAGGAGGAAGCACCTGGCTCCTGGCTTTGGATTGGCGCAGAGCGCCGGCTGTAGCAGCCATTTTGGGGGTGAACCAACGGAAGGAAGACCTTTCTCCCTGTCTCTCTCTCACTGTCTAACTCTGCCTATCAGAAGAATTAATAATTCCTCCTGAAATTGTTAGCTATGATTCTTTTATTAAAAATGACTTACCTGTTTAGTTAACCTGGGTACAATTTTTAAAATGTAGGATAAATGATCACCAAAAAAAAAGTAGGATAAATGCTTTATTGATGTCTTAAATATTTATCAATTCTCAGAAAAAATGAGTTTGTGTTCCAACAACCCCCAAAGATGACAAGTGATACTTTTATTTAAACAAAGTATAATTATGAGCTCTTAAGTTCTGTATTTTTGACATAGTATAACCTATTGCTGTTTTTCTTCTTTTTCTTTTTTTTTATTAGAGTGACAGAGAGAAAGAGAAAGCTCTTTCCTGCTGGTTTTCTCCCCAAATGCGTACAATGGCCAGGACTGTGTCAAGCCAAAGCCAGGAGCCAGGAACTCAGTGCATGTCTCCTGTATGAGTGACAGGAACCCAGCTCTTCAAGCTCTCAATGAAGCATTAGCAGGAAGCTGGAAGCATGAGCCAGAGCCAGGTAGCGAACCCAAGCACATGAAATGAGACACAGGTGTCTTAACGGGGGTCTTAACCATTACGCCAAATGCCTGTCCCCCCATTGTTCTTGTTAATTTTTGATGCTCGTATATTCCTAGCGTCGGCTAGTGGGAAGCCAAATCAAGTTGACTGCTGTGTGCTTTTGATATCATTCCAGAAATCTTCCAGAACGCTTGTTTTCAGGCAACACAAGAAGACCCAGTCCTATCCTGTGTGTTTCCAGCTCCAGCCTGGAATTAACCGTTTCTCCAGACAGCTGTGCCTCCATTTAATGGGAAGTGGGGTTTGAGAACACGACGTGACTGCTCATTGCCAGCTTTTCCCTGCTTGCTTATGGGGCTTTTTGGTGAACAGAGCTGAGAAAGACATATTTCTTGCAAAGAAAAAAATTTCTGAGTTCATACTGCTATTTCCAACTTAAAATATGAATGACAGAATTTTCACTTAACTTCTTGGTTTTTAGTGCTTGCATCTCATTTGATTTGTATCTCTTGTCTGTCATTCTGAACGTTTTTTACATTTTTTTTTTTTTTAGCCTGGACCTCCATCTGGATTGCCCACATAGGTGACAAAGGCCATCATCTGCTGCCTTCCCAGGCTCATTAGCAGGGAGCTGGATCGGAAGCAGAGCAGCTGGTACTCAAACTGGCGCTCTGATCTGGGACGCTGATGTTGCAAGCAGTGGTTTAATCCAGTGCACCACAATGATAGCCCAAATTTTTACATCTTAAAAACATGAATATAATCTTATCTGCTTTATCTCATTACATATATACATAAATGTGTGTGCCTGTGTATATGTATATTTATGGCTCTGATTACTCAGTCTTTTCTGCATTTATACCCTCTGCCATGTGTCTTTTCTAGCTGGGATCAACACTCCTTGAATCTGCTCTGGTCAGGAGCCAAGAGAGTGAAGCAGAAGTGATGCTGTACCAAGCCCAAGTCCAGGCTTGAAGGTTTCTTGTATTTCTGTGCATTCACTTGTGTCTCTCCCAGTCATCTCAGCATGGCTAAACCAGATTAGCCAACCTTTGGTCCTTCTGTTATTTAGCATGGAAAACGTAAGCAGTTATATATGTGTATTCACATGCCCAATCCTGTATCATTCTGCTGGAGTTGCCGTAACAAAGCATTTCAAACCAGGTGTCTTAAACAACAGAGGTTTCTGCTTCCACAATTTTAGAGGCTGGAAGTTCAAAGCCTGTATCTTTTTTTTTTTTTTTTTTGGAATTATTTTATTTATTTGAAAGACAGAGTTACAGATAGAAGTAGAGCCAGAGAGAGAGGTCTTCCATTCTGCTGGTTCACTCCCCAAATGACCACAATGGCCAGAGCTGAGCCAATCTGGAGCCAGGAGCCTCTTCTGAATCTCCCACGTGGGTGCAGGGCCCCAAGGAGCTGAGCCATTTTCCACTGCTTTCCCAGGCCATAGCAGAGAGCTGGATCGGAAGTGGGAGCAGCTGGGATTTAAACCGGTGCCCATATGGGACACCGGCACTGCAGGCTGGGGTTTTAACCTGCTGTGCCACAGCGCCGGCCCCCAGAGCCTGAGTCAGCACAGCCGTTCTCTTCAGGGCTCTAGGAAAGAATCCTCCATCACCTGCTCCAGTTTCTGGTGGTTGCCTTTGGAGTCCCTTGGTTTGCAGCTGCATCACTCTGATCTCCGCCTCCAGCACCACTTGGGCCATCCTCCTCTGCACTCCCAGGCACATAAGCAGGGAACAGGATTGGAAGTGGAGCAGCCAGGACTCAAACCGGCATTCATGTGGGATGCTGGTGCTGCAGGTGGCAGTTTCACCCACTATGCCACAGTGCCAGCCCCACCGTGTTTTTATAAGGACAGAAGTCATTGATTGGAGCCCACCCTGAGCTCTGTTCCCAGGGGTCTGACAGATGGCAATTTTCAGTGAAGAAGTGAAAACAACAACAACAAAGACTCTGTGAGACTAGAGGAGAGCTAGCTATGAGCCACCATCTTACCATGTCAAAGTTGAAGAATTGCCACAGCCCCATGGCTCACAGTTTAGCCGAGAGGGAATTCCACAGTCACCCACTGACTTTGACTTCCGCCGGAGAGCTGACTGGAGTCTGAGCAACTGCCAGGCTCCTGCAGGGCACCAACCAATCTCCCTACCAATTGCCTGGGGGAAGCAGTGTTTGGGCCCCTGCACCCCGGTGGGAGACCCAGAAGAAGCTGCTGGCTCCTGGCTTCAGCCTGGCCCAGCCCCAGTTGTTGGGGCCATCTGGGGAGTGAATCAACAGATGGAAGATTCCTCTCTGTCTCTCCCTCTCTGTTGCTCTGCCTTTTAAATAAGCAAATAAATCTTTAAAAACAAAAATCTGCATCTCTTGACCTTATTTCCTGTGCAGTGCCTGGTTTTTGCTGGGTGCTCTGTAAGTGTTGGGCCAATGGATGAAGAAGGAGTAGCTGATTGAGTTTCTGTAGCTGCAGACCTCAGGTGTCTGGAGAGGGGTGCCCACGGTCACAGCCCTTACCCCAGCCCCCCTAGCCTGGGCTCTTCACACTGTACCTAGGAACTTGTGTTGCCACGCCTGCTAAGCTCCCCAGCACGGCCCTCTCCAGCAGCCCCAACATCTGGCTCTGCCTGATGAAATGCTGGATTAGGAGGGACTCCCGGCCAGCGCGTCCAGCTAAAGCCACCTCCCACAGCTGTTTGAATTTCAGCAGCAGCTTTGGCCACCTCTCCCTCCTCCCCCACGCAAAGCCATGTTTCGAAGGAGCATTCAGATTGGCAGCAGCCTCTCTCAGGCTCATTTTTACCCCCCACCCCGACTCCTTACTTCCAGATGGCTGTGGGGGAAAGGAAGCAGATGGGAGCCACAGAAGGGCCAGCATGACAAACAGAACCCAAGGATGCATTGTTTCAAGTTAATTCATGTCTGGGGACATCGGAGTCAGGTGCCGCCGAAGGGGCTGGAGGCAGTGGGAAGGATGTAACAGGACAATGCGGGGAGAGCCTCTGGATTTGTCTGTTCTGTCCACCTCTGCTGTGTGGGGGCTTTTGTTGGGGTAGAGGACCCCCTCTTCCTTCTACCTAGTGCCTTCTGGGGCCCGGTGGCTTCCTTTATTCAGACTTGGTCAGCCCTGGGATTGGCATATTTGTCTCAGTGTAAAGCCAGCGGCTGGGAGCCAGGGTGTGGGTCCTGGTGCATCTTCACCTAGCTGTGGCTTTGGCAAGTCATTGGTGTTCTCTGGCCTCCGTTTCCTAAGTGATGAAGCCAGGAAGTGTAATCTCAGGTTGGTCCGCGTTCCGTGGCTGTTGTGAAGGTGGAGTGCGATCAGGGACATTGCCCATTACTCATCATACCCTCTGGGACTCATCCTCCCTGCTGGTCACTGTGTTCCCAGAGCCTGGGAGCGTCCCTGGCATGGAGCAGCAATGCAGAAAAATGCTGAGTCAACCATTGTGAAAGTGCCTGTCAGCCACCCCGCAGGCCTGAAGCATTGCACAGAGAGATGGTTTCTATAGCTCAGCCTGATTTATGTTCCCTCCAACTATGATGGCTACTTTAGACAAGGTGCAGGACAAAAGGGGCTGGTACTGTGGCGTAGCAGGTAAAGCTACCACCTGCAGTGCTGGCATCCCATATGGGCCCTGGTTTGAGTCCCAGCTGCTCCACTTCTGATCCAGCTCTCTCCTATGGCCTGGGAAAGCAGTGGAAGATGGCCCAAGTCCTTGGGCCCCTGCATCCATGTGGGAGACCCGGAATAAGCTGCTGGCTCCTGGCTTCAACCTGGCCCAGCTCCAGCCCTTCAGCCATTAGGAGAGTGAACCAGCGGGTGGAAGATCTCTCTCTCTCTCTCTGTCTGCCACTGCCTCTCTGTAACTCTGCATTTTAAATAAAAATGAATAAATCTTCAAAAAAGAAAAAAAGATGCAGGACAAGGACCTGTGACTTCATCCATTCCTCTTCCAACACCATCTTCTCTCCCAGCGACAGGAGTAGGGTGGGTCCCGGCTTGCTCACTCTTCAACCTCTCCTACTTCTAGAGACCTTGATACTTCCTGAGTACTTTCGCATTCATTATCACATTTATACCAACTGTCGAAGAAAGCAGGTCAAGTGGGGAAGCCTAGGCCTGACATAGTGTGGGGACCTGCTCAGGGACGCACCATACAGAAGTGACTGCAGGGGCTGGTGTTGTGGCACAGCAGGTGAAGCTGTGATGCCAGCATGTGAACCAGCAGATGGAAAATCTCCCTCTCTCTCTCTCTCTCTCTCTCTCTCTGATTTTCTACCTTTTAAATAAATAAATCTTTAAATAATGGGGCCGTGTTAGGATACAGTGAGTTACGTTGCTACTTATAATGCTGGCCTCCCATATGGGAATACCAGTTCATGCCTGGCTACTCGCCTTCTGATCCAGATCCCTCCTAATGCATCTGGGAGACAGCAGAAGATGGTGCATTGCCCCTGCCACCCAGGTGGGACACCCACATGGAGTTCCTGGATCCTGGCTTCATTCTGGCCCAGAACTGGTCATTGCAGCCTTTTGGGGAGTGAACCAGCAGATGTCTCCATCTCTCTCTCTATCACTCTGCATTTAAAGTAAATAAAAATAATATGATTAAAAAAAAAAGCTGCAGGACCCATCTCCCTCTGGTTTCTCTGCCCTCCCCATCTGTTCATGTGCTGTCCCTCCCAATGTAGATGCTGTTCCCTTTATTGACAGCTACTTCAAGACTCATCTCAGGTGGCAGCTCTCCACCACCCCTTTCCTGGCCTTCTAAGCTAGGTTGGAGGCCTCTCCAAGAGCTGCTTCTCGTGGCATCGTTAGTTACTCTCTCTCATAGCACATGTATTACTCAGCTTTTCATTATTACAGAGAAACGCCCAAGACAAGGGAGTTTCACCTTGTGGTTCTGGAGGTTCACAGTCCAAGATCAGCTGGCCTTTGGTTTGGCCTTTGGTGGTGGTGTTCTCGCTGGCAGAGTCCTGAGGAAGTGCACAGCATCACATGGCAAGAGGGAGCATGTGCATCGGTGGCTGTGTGGCCCCTCATAAAGACAAAGGACTGTGGTGCAGCAGGTTAAGCTGTTGCCTGCAGCACCAGCATTCCATATGGACACTAGTTAGAGTCCTGGCTGCTCCACTTCTGATCCAATTCCCTGTTAATGCACCTGGAAAAGCAGCAGGAGATGGTCCAACTCCCTCTGCCCCTGCTACCCACCTGGGAGACCCAGAAGAGACTCCTGGTTCCTGGCCCAGCCTTGGTCATTGTGGCCATTTGGGGAGTGAACCAAAGGATAGAAGACCTCTCTCTCTCTCTCTCTCTCTCTCTCTCTCTCTTTCTGACTTTCAAAAACATAAAATAAATCTTTAAAAAGGAAAAAGAAAAAAAGACAATCATAGTGACTCCACCCTAATGACCCAGTCCCATTCAATCAACTCCCAAAGGCCCACCTCCAAATCCATAATTGGATTCCATAATTGGATAAAGTTTCCACCCTCTCTGCATGATTAGCATGACTTTAGGACCTAAGCCTTAATTACATGGGCCTTTGGGGGACACTGAATATATCCAAACTCACATCCAGACTAGAGCAGCATGGCCCATCTGTGTCTGCCCCACTGGACTGGGAGATTCCTGAAGGCAGGCACCAAGCTCTTCCTCTCTGTATCTGTGCACCTAGCCCTCCTGGATCATAGCTATGAAAGTTAAGTGAATGGATGGATGAACAATGCACAGAGTGGTGAAGCAGGCTACCTAAGGTCACTCAGCTAGGATTATGAACTGAAAAGCAAACAAGGAAAATATGTTGAATAAATGCACTCTGAACTCAGGGTTTCTGAGCATTTCCCGGTGTCTCCTGGATCCTGGTGCTTTGTGCTGCCTGTTGCCCTCTCAGGAGTGCCCACCGCAGAATGGAGATGCCAGGCAGTAAGACGCTGGCCCTGTCATTTGCAGCCTGTAAGGAGGAGCCAGAGCTTGAGAAGTCACCCCAGGAAGGCCCTTTTGCTGGAAGAGGCTGACCCAGGGTCCCTCCATCCTGCATTTCAGATTCCCATACCCCAGAAGGCTGGCAACAGGCAGACTATAGCCTGTATGTTCCTGAACTGCTCAAGCCCTTTTAGCAGGGCCAAGGGTTGCAGGACAAGGCTCAGAGGCCTCGCACACTGCCCAGTACCAGGATTTGCACCTCCTGGTGAGGACAGATCATTCCACCTTAAACCCGTGTGGAACACACCTGTGCACCACTGGGAGCTCCAGGGAGACCCACCACCTCTGCCATTGCCACTGCCACCACAGGGGACCCAAAATAGAAGGCTCTTTTCTTGGTTTGGGTTTCTCTGAAATAGATCCTGAGACAAGGATGTGAGTGCAAAGGGTTTTTTGGGAAGAGATCCCAGGAAATGCTCATTGAGGGTGGGCAGGTGAGACAGGGAAGGGGAAGATGCTATAAAACCGGTGTTATCAAGCCCGTGAGTGCCGGAGCCCAGTCCTGCTGGGGACCGTAGGGATGGTGTGGGACACGCCGCAGAGTCAGCTGGGGAGGAAGTAGCAGTCCATTGCTGAGGGCTATTTCTGGGGCTTTCAGTTCTCTGGCACTCCTGGTTTTCCAGGCATGCAGATGTCCCAAGTGGGCAGCCTTGGATGTGCAGAGATGAATGCCAAGACGTGTAGACAGAGCTGGGCAGAGCCCAGAGCCCACTGAGGTCTCATCACGGCTTTACCCCCATTATTTTGCACAAGGGAGCTAACAGTCCACCTCCCAAGCTGGGCTGTGGTGAGACTGGAGGAAGTGAGGGGTGGGACACCACTTGATCAGGCGGAAGGGACAGTGGAGATGGACCATTAGGACCAATGACAGTTCCCCTTCTCCTGGCACATGGAAGAGAGATTTAGAAAGCAAATGCCAAAGAGAACACCAGGCAGGATGACTCCAAAGGGGAAATGGCTTTAGATTTAGATCTTAATGAAATTTCTGAGTTGGGAAATGATGGAGGAAGGCTGTGCCCAATTACCGGGCAATTCGCGCCCAATCCTTGCCTGGAGGAGAAGTCACTTCTGTCTCAGCCCCAACCTTTGGTTCCGTTATTGCTCCCCAGTGGGCAGGAACAAAGCTGTGGAGGCGATGAGGAGGGAAAGACAGGGCCGAGCGTGGTCAGGAAGGGACGACAGTGCCCCGCTGGCTGCAGCTTACCGAGCAGAGGGCACGTGTGGGTTCCAGCTCTCCCCATTGACCACCTGGAGGCTTCAGAGAAGGGAGGGTTTCGAAAGGAGAGTGGAGGGGAGGGCTCAGAACAGAGGTCCCTGTCAGTTCTGTTCTCTCCCATTACCAGCCAAGGCTGCTGGCAGTAAATTCAGCAAATCTACTTGACACTAATCTTGTTGAGAGAATTCACTGTAATTTGGTTCACTGAGGGGGATAATCAGATTTGTGTAAACTTTCACTATAGTCTTCAAAGGCTTCATCTATCTTGATGGATGTGGTCTTTTTAAAAGATTTACTCATTTATTTGAAAGGCAGAGTGACATGGAGCAAGGGAGAGAGATGTGCTGATTCACTCCCCAGCTGGCTCCAAACAACCAGGGCTGGGCCAGGCTGGAGCCAGGAGCCCAGCACTCCATCTGGGTCTCCCACGTGGGTGGCAGGGGCTCAAGATCTTGGGCCATCCTCTGCTGCCTTCTCAGGTACGTTAGCTGCTGGATTAGAAGCAGAGCAGCTGGGACTCGAATGAGCAGCATCGCAAGTAGTGGCTTCACCTGTCTGTCACAACACCAGCCTCAGTTGCAGTCTAAAAGCCCTGTGCCTTGATCTCAGGATGAGAGGAGACACTGAGCTGGCAGGAAGGGCTTCAGGACCCAAAGACAGACCCGCTGCCTTCCCTGAACCCCCGCTCCACGCCTTCACCCCACCCCTCCCTGTATGTGGGACTGTGAGTGCTCTGGGTTGGCAGGGAGGAACGTGGTAAGATTGACAGCATAGTCACTGCCCACCCTCCCAAATCTCATTGTCCAGTCACTCCTGATCCATTCAGGAGTGTGTCTGCACACGGTCATCACCAATGAGAGCAACTCTGCTGATGAGGCACGTAATAATTGTCAAGGTGATGCATGTCAAGCAGTGGACAGGTGAGCTCAGGCGCAATCAAGTTTGGAAGCGATTATGTGAGCAGACAGCGACTCATGAACCAGGCAGCACCAAACCACACACAGTTCAGGCCCATCCCCCACCGCCGGGGTGAGGAAGGCATAACTGTTCTAAGGTGTTCAGGAAAGGAAACAAAGCAAACATTTGATTGGTTCAAATGGAAGGTCTCTAGGATATTGGTTAGCTGGTGGTTTCTGATTGGTAAAATCTCCGGTGAGAGGTTAGGTGGCAGCTTCTGACTGGTTAAGTTTCATTTTACCATTTACACTGAAGTGGTTTTTTGGAGACTTATTTGAGATGGGGGGAATAGTGGGGAGGGGAGAGAGAGAGAAAGGGAGAGAGAGAGAGTGCTTCTATCTACTGATTCACTCTTCAAATGGTCATAATGGTCAGGGCTGGGCCAGGCAGAAGCCAGGAGCCCAGAACTCCATCTGGCTGTCCTACATGGGTGCGGGGGCCCAAAGACAGGCGTCATCCTCTGCTGCTCTCTGAGACACATTAGCAGGGAACTAGACCAGAAGTGGGGCAGCCAGGACTTGAACCAGCACAGCTGCAGCTAAGCCTGAGTGGGGTAAGGTACGCAGGTGTTGATGCTGCCTTGGCCCAAGGACCTCCTGATTAATATTTTTAAAAGTTTTTATTTAATAGGGAGACTGAGAGCTACTGGTTCACACTCCAAATGCTGCAAAGTCTGGGGCCAAAGCTGGGAGCTAGGAATTCAATCCAGGTCTGTCATGTGAGTGGCAGGAACACAATTACCTAAGCCATCACCTGCTGCCTCCCATGGTTTGCATTAGCAAGAAAGTGGACAT